TAATTATTTAGCTTTGTCATTTCCCGAAAATTATGGTTATCGATTTTATTTTCTTACGAGTTTATTTTGAGACGAGTTAAAAAAAATGTATAAAGGCATTCTTCAATAAACTTTTCTAGCCTCATCCTTCGGTGACGTGAAAAATCACTTAAACGTTTCGTTTTTCTGGGATCATTATTAACTTTATTTTTCTTAATACGGATATGGTCTTTTATTTCATTTTTGAATCTTATGACCTCTCAAATACAATTATGTAGCGGATTTTCCTAAGAAATGTATAATAAAGAATATTCTTATAAGAGGCAATGTTTTGGTGAGAGATGGGTATACGGATCAATTTCGTTATGTGTGTGTAAAAAAAAGAAATTAAGCATTTCTTGGGTAATTGCAATACAATTGAGGGGTTTCTGGCAAAAACCCCATTAGTCAAAAAGTGGGTAAAATGAGTTAATGGCGCTATCCGACAGTAATTTATTAGTCATAACGTTCCTATCAAACGAATTCGGGAAAAGTGCTATAAGTCAGCCCGTGCATACGGTAAGAACCCCACAAGTCACAAGTCTTAACGGCAAAAACCCCACTAGTCCGCTACTTGCTGTGGTTTGGTTGTTTGTCGTTCGTAATCGTTCGAACAGTTGCTAAGGGACTTTGTTGTTTCCACGTAATTATGTTACCACAATATGTCACATACGTTGTTTTTACCAAAATTAGTAGTCAAACAAGTTCAAAAAAATAAGTCAAACAAATTCACACCCTTCCTAACTTAAAAATAAGAAAAAAATAAAGAAAACTAGTTTTCTGTAATTTCAGATTATAACCAGACCTCACACAAAAAAAACGACAATTTAAATTTAAATGGGAGCAAGATATACTTTTTTTAGTTTCTCCAAATTTCGAAATATCTGACTAAAGGGGTTTTTGCCAAAAACCCCTCAATTAGTGTTGAGAAAAATCGGATGAATTCAATTCTCGAGTATTGATCCTCGAGGATTCCAATAATCGGATGATCATCCGAGGAATCCTCGGTCATAAAATTTTCTCTGTATAATATCTCGAAACCTGAATAATACTCGCCGCTGGGTGTGAGTGATTTTGCCTCCTGTTTTTAACACACTGTTGGCATGTACTTGAATGACTTAAATAATATTGTAATAAAAATAAATACTAATTATTTTAAACACTTTTTTAATAATTTTTAATATGTTCGTGTATCATTTCATGTGGGAAATAAAATTTTCATAGGTTTTGCTTTAAATTGTGCTGATTTTGTTTCTTTAACTCCGACTTTGAGGCTAATCTGGCAACCTTTCAGCACACTTTCAGGCCAAATGAAACCAAGTAATTCTAGGAAATACGTGCGGCTTTTTAAAAAGGGCTCGTTATTTATGGTTTATTTGTGGGCGGTCGGTCATTGAGATAAAAAATATATTTTGTTTTACGTATTAATAGCGTACTTTCACTGAAAATAAACTGTAGTACCTAATAAATTGTAGTACTATTGTGTTATTGTGCATATTTTAAGTTTGTGTGCGACATAATATCCAGTTTTAAAATTGAATTTACCAACTGTATTGTTTGGGCACAGTTTAACTAATAATCGGAAAAAAATGTTAATGATCATTGTTTCGGATTTTCAACCTCTTTCTCTTGTGAACCCTCATATTAAAAAAATATTAACTAATAAAATTTTACTTAAGGCCGAGTTTAAGGCTTACAACGAGTCAGCTGTCGCTTTAAACACTGTTTGAAAAAAAAATGAAATAAAATATACAGCAATATTGTTATTGTTCTTGTTGGCAAATTCCGAAAATCATTCACTTTATATCTACGTTCCATCACACTAAATTTCGATTATACTTTCATCAGAATATAGTCTCCCAACGTACAACTACAAGCAAAGGTTTTTTTACAAGAAAACACGTAAATTGAAAATTAAAAATGCAAATAACGCAAAATCTCCAAACCTTAACCCAAATAAACAACTGTGGTTTTGTCAAATGGAATTTTGAAACTCGAAAACTGACGTATTATGAATTTTCAAATGTTTCAATTCTGAATTATTGCACAGAAAAAACAACATTTTATTATCAATGGTTAAAAAACTATAAATCTTAAAATATAAAGTATGGAGAAAAAATCTTTATAATATAAATAAATATTATAATTAATATATCCCATCTAGTAGCGATGAGGAGATAGAAGCCGAAGAAGAAATAACAAGTGAAGAAGAAAGAGAATTTGAAGTAAGAAAGACATATGCACAAGCAGCTAAGACAGCGCAAGAAATTAAAACTGTAATAAGAACAATGCATGAATGACAGAAACCAACAAATAGTGTTAATGAAGTAGTAGTAAAAGGAAAGGACGAGAGAGAGATAGGACAGGTGCTGAAAAAAATAAAAGCTAAATTAACACAGGAAGAAACAAAACAAAAATAAGTAATGTATTTCTGTTCAAAAATGCAGGTTGCTACTCTGAAAACCGACTATTATTGCGAGCGATATGCGAGCAAGTGATTAAACGGTTATCCTGTGTCCTCTATATAAAAGGTTTCAGCATAAATCGTAAATTCGCCTGTATCGTCGCGAGCAGCGAGGACGGTACGCTACACCCGATGTTAGTTGCGTGCCGAGTAATCCTCGAGGATCGACAAAAATACTCGAGACATACCGAGGATATGAATACTCGGATGACCGAGTATTTTTCACTCGAGTGATCCCCTCACTAAATGCCATCATTCCATTTGGGAGGTTATAGCTTCTAAAAAATGAAATAAAAAATCCGGGTCTCTATTTAAAAAAACAAATTCTATGATGGTCCCAGAAAAATGAAACGTCTAAGTGATTTTTACGTCACCAAAGGATAAAGCTAAAAACATTATTTGTTTGAGAATGTATTTGTAGTTCTTTTCTAATTGTTAAGATAAAATCGTATATATGTATATTTGCAATTTAGATGACAACATTTTGTCGCTTCTCGTACCCTAGTCTCAATACAATTGTATTAAGCAAATTCTTTTTTGTGTGGGTTGTTATCACTCTGCTCTGCCATATTCTTGTAAGACGCGTTGTGGCAGTTTTTGCTAACTGTATTCGGCATTTAATTTCTATTTTACAATTGCGTTCCTCGTTTGTGTTTGATCCTAGATAAACAAAATCACGAACCACTTCGATACCATTAAGCTGGAAAGATCTTTGTAGGGGTTTTCCTCTGGCCACGAACATTAATTTCGTTTTATGGCGGTTGATAGTTAGTCCCATCTCAGCACTTTCATTTTCCACTCCCAACAGTAGATTCACCATTTCTTCCAGTTCCAGTTAACATCGCCTTCTAACGTGTTGACCCTAGGGCCTTTACACCACTTTCTTTGCGGAGCGACATCCTAGTGATCAGATCTCTGAGATGCCGCTGTCCTTACGGGCTGGTCACCTGACCGCGTTTGTTGAGATCCTGCTGGCCTCCCTGCGTGAGTGCTAGCCTTGTGGCTGCATGGATTGTTAGCTCACCAGGTTATGGATCTCTCTTATTTACGGGTTAGTCGCGTCTTCACACCCCACGTTAAAGTTATGCGAGGCTTTAACTATTAAGCCTTCCACTGAGCTTATTGCAGGTTCGCGTTGTAATTGAGTATTCCTGATGAACCAAGGGGCGTTCAGCGCCATGCGCAGAGTCCCAGCTTGTAGGGATTCCAGTTTCCTCAGTGATGTCACCGGAGCTTCTCTGAACCAAAACTGGCTTCCGTAAAGGACTACGGCCCGGACCAGTATGTATGACTGTGTAGACCATATGGTATGACTGTGTAGACCAGTATAAGATAGATAGTAATATAGTTAGTTAGATAGTTCGTTAGTTAGTAAGATTGTAGTAAACAAAATGGAGAAAAAAGATCGATTAGTGTTCAGCGACGATGAAACTGAAAAGAAAAAGAAAGAGAAATATAGGGCAAGACATGAAGGAAAAAGTAGCGGAGAAGAAAGGGGGAACGAGAGTGAAGAGGGGAATAAGACGGAGGAGGGAACAAATACGACAATGATGGAGGAGGAAATCAACAACAATGGTTTTATAAAGGCAGTACTAACGATTAGAGATGAATTAAAGGTAATTGAAGACCTCGAGGAGAGCGGGAGGAAAAATAAGTTTCAGGAGAGAAGAGAGAAGAGAGAGAGATAGTAAAAAGATCAGTCGAAGAAATAAATAAAAAAGTAATGGAGCTCACATGGATGTATGGAAACGAGGAAAAAGGCATGAGTAAATGTGAAGAACTTCTGCTGAAAATGGACAAAAAATGGGAGAGGAGGTTCGAGCAAATTGAAGAAAAGATATCACATAGCACAGAGGTGAAAAAGAGAAAAAATAATAAGAAGAAGAATATAGAAATAATAGAAATAAACAAGTAAATAGTAGCGATGAGGAGATAGAAACCGAAGAAGAAATAACAAGTGAAGAAGAAAGAGAATTTGAAGTAAGAAAGACATATGCACAAGCAGCTAAGACAGCGCAAGAAATTAAAACTGTAATAAGAACAATGCATGAATGAAAGAAACCAACAAATAGTGTTAATGAAGTAGTAGTAAAAGGAAAGGACGAGAGAGAGATAGGACAGGTGCTGAAAAAAATAAAAGCTAAATTAACACAGGAAGAACTAGGTAATAGCGGCTTAAAGGCGGTAAGGGAGTTAATAGTAATACTACAGTGCGAAAGTGAAGAGCAGAAAAGAAAGGTGTACGAAAAATTAAGAACGGAAAACGACTTAGCTAGGGAAGGATGGAAATTTAGACCTAAAGTGAGAGTTACAGGAGTCAGAAAAGGACTAAGTAACAAAGAATTTGTTGCTGAAGTGGTTGAGAGTAATGAGGAGATAAAGGTATGTTTGAGGGGAAGGAAAAAGAAATTGACGAGAACATTAAGGTGTTAACAAGGCTCGCGTGCATAAGTGCGGTCAAAGAAAACTTTATTTTTGAAGTGAGTGGAAAAGTATTTGCAGAACTAAAAGAACAGGCATGACAGTAGTGAATCTACTGTCTTGCTATGTAGAAGAATATGAAGATGTACAAGTGTATAAGTGTTGCGCTTTTGGTCACACAATAAAAAATTGTAGCAAGAAAGCTGGAATTTGTTTCAAGTGCGGGATCGAAGGACATGTGGGAAGAGAGTGCAAAAACGAAAGAAAGGACTGCCCTAATTGCAGAAAGGCAAAGAAGGAGGAAAGGAGTCGTAACCACAGCGCAGATGATAGGAGCTGCTCGGTATATATTAGCAAGTTGGAGGAACTGAGAGAAAAAACTGATTGTGGACAGTAGAATGAAGGTAACATAAATAAATATAGGAAGAGGGAGGCAAGCAGAATAATTAGTGAGAGTAAAGGCAGAGGAGGAGCAGATAGATATAGCGATAATATTATAACCGAGGAGGAAGAGCGTGGGAGGGATGGAGGAGATATGACAACAATAAATAAATGGACAAATTAAGATATGGTGACAGTAAGATTAGGTAAGATAGCACTAACAGCAGTTTATGAAGAAGGTGGAAAAAAGGACTTCGGAAACATAAAAGAAAAAGAACAGGGAAGGGAATATAAGGGGAAGTGGATTGTTGGGGGCGATTTCAACGCGAGAAGCGAATTATGGGGGGATAGATTAACTGATAAAAGAACCGAAAGTGTTGTGGAATGAGCGGAGGAAAGCAGTCTTGTCCTGATGAACGAAGAAGTTGGATTGACTTGACGTGGGCAAGGGAGGTGGAGGTGAATGATTGGAGAGTAGAAGAAGAGACATTAAGTGACTAGATAGAGTATGTGAGCTATAATATAGAAGCGGAAATTACGAAGAGAAAAACTAAGTATGTTATATGGGATTTCAAAGGTACAATTTGGGAAAATTTTGACAGACAATTGGAAATAATGAGACCAAGAATAGAAAAGAGCACAGATAAAGAAAAAATAGACGAACAGATAATAAAATTGTAAAAAGCATATTAAGCAGCATGCAAAAAGATTAAAAGAAAGAAAATTGTGATTAAAAATGATGGAGAATGGTGGGACGGAGAATGTAAAGAAATGAAAAATGAAATCAGAAGAAAGATAAGAGAGATAAAGGAAAAGTTACATAGAAAAGAATAAATAATACATTTAGTAGAAGAATATGGATGAGCAAAGAAGCAATATAAAGAGTTAATAAAAGAAAAAAAGGTAAAGTGGCAGTGCACGCTGATTGAGACGGAATTATGGAAGAAACCCCATGGAATAAGATATGGGAAATCATGAGACGGATGGGTGTCGGTAAAGGAAGGAGAGTTGAAAGATGGTAGGACGCAGAGGAAGAGAGCAGACAAATAAGAGAAAAGAGAAATAGCAAGAGTGCGAAAATATCACCCAGAGAAAAGCAAAGAAGAGGAAGAGGAATTGAAAGTAATAAAGCAAAGGATAGAGACAGAAGACTGGCAACAGGATAACGAGGAGGAGGGCGTTAGCGTGTGCAACGGAAGGTATGAAAACGAATAAAGCGACAGCAGACGATAGAATACCGAACGAGGCGATTAAGAATATAAAGAAAATATACGAAAAGGAACTGCTGTTGCTTTATAACAACTGCTGGGAAGCGGGGTATTTCCCAAGGCCCTAGAAGGTGGCTAAGTTATGCTGGCTGAAAAAGAAAAGTGGGGGAGAGAGACCTATAAGCCTACTGCCGGCACTTGGAAAAGTGTTGGACATGATTATAAACAGAAGACTGCAAGTGTGGGGTGAAAGAAAGGAAGTGTGGGACGAGCAGCAGTACGGTTTTAGGAAAGGAACTGGGACCATCGAGGCCTTGGGAAGCCTAACAGAGAAAATGGAGGGTAATAAAAAAGAGTGGCTGCACACGCTAGTAATGGCGCTGGACTTAGAAAATGCTTTTCACACGGCAACGGAAGACGAAGTAATAAAAGAACTTATGGAGAAGAAAGCATACAGACGATTGGTGAAGATGTGTAGTAATTTTATGGAGGAAAGAAAAGTGAGAAGCGAAGGAACAGAGGTGGATGTGTATAAGGGATGCCCGCAAGGATCGAGCATGGCGCCGACGCTGTGGCTAATGAATATGAACAAATAGTTTAGAAAGATGAACATCTTAAAAAATGAAATGTTGAGGGAAGTAAATAAGAATAGAGGAGAGAAAAAACAAGTACGCGGAAAAGGTGGTGAGGAATAGAGATGAGGAAAGAAACGAATAAAAGACTAGGATAAGAGAAATAAGGGAGAAAATTTTAGTGTAAATAGTGTAAACAGTAAAGATGTTAGGTTGTTAATATTAAAATAGTAAAGATTAAGGCAGAGACTAGAGACAGGATAGTGAAGAAAATAAGTTAAGCAAGAGAGATAAAATAAGAGAGAAAGTGAAGGTTAAATTAAGAAAAGAAAAAGACAAAAATTAGGTTAGGAAATTCTGTTAAATAGGTTAAGTAGTTGTTTTGTTAAATAGGCTAAGAAAGTTGTTTTGTTAAATAGGTTAAGAATTTAGGGTAAGAAGGTAAAATAAGTAAAAGTGTAAGATTAGAGTCTGAAAAGATAATAAATAAAGACGAGTTTCAACGCTAATTTTTGGAGTGAGATGGGTAGTAGGGTGTATTCTTGGGAGTGGCTTTTGTGGTTGGTGGCGGCCTGGCTGTAGCCTTAGGATAAAAGCCAATAGGCTTGAAGACTATTCTGTGTAGACCAGTATTTTTATGTTGTTGTTATTGCCAGCTTACTCGATCCGCATAACAGGGGTAGACCTACCTCAGGATACCATACCCTTTCCCCATGGTGTGTTGTATCTGGGCGGACCAGGTCAGCTGGCAGTCGAATTTATGCCATAGGTACGTAATTTTAGTCCTCCAAGGGATGATATCCACCTGGAGCCTGGGCGGAATGATGAGTCGGCCTCTGGAGAAAAGGATGGCCTGTGACTTTTGGAAGTTGAACCAAATCTCCAGAACTTTAGCCATTCGGAGACCTGGTTTAAATGGATTTGTAGGTGCTGCCTGATTTGCTCCGGGCTCCTGCCTGAAGTGAAGATGGCGGTGTCGTCTGCGAATATGGCTATTTGGGACCCTTTGGTCCTGACCGGGATGTCCGACGTGTATAGATTAAATAGCGCTGGTGAGAGGGGGGACCCCTGTGGGACACCAGCTTCGATGGGGTGGGCGTGGCTGAGGTTGGACTCCAGTTTAACACGGAAGCTCCTCCATGTGAAAGCGACGTTACAAGCTAACTTGGGCCTGTATCACAAATGTAACGCACTGACTAAACGGAACACACATAAACACAGACTGCACAGAGCGAGGGTGGCGAGCGATGCTTTTGCTACCACTGGTCGGACTGAACTCCGCCATTTCTTCCAGTTCCAGTTATCTTCTTCTTCTTGTTGTTCCTGGGGCCTTTATACCTCTTTCTTTTGCGGAGCAACATCCCAGGGATCAGATGTCTGATGTCCTGAGATGCCGCTGTCCTTACGGGCTGGTCAGCTGACCGCGTATGTTGAGGTCCTGCTGGCCTCCCCGCGCGAGTGCTAGCCTTGTGGCTGCTTGGCTTGTTAGTTCACCAAGTCCTGGATCTCTCTAATTAGTGGGTTAGTCGCTTTTTGATACCCCACATTAAAATTGTGAGAGGCTTTCACAAAAATCTTCTACTGAGCTTATTGCAAATTCGCGTAGTATTTGGGTATTCCTGATAAATCACGGGGCGTTCAGCGCCGTGTGTAGAGTCTTGGCTTGGAGAGCTTCCAGCTTCCTCAGTGCTGTCACCGGAGCTGCTCGGAACCAAACCTGGCTTCCGTAAAGGACTACGGCCCGGACCATGGCTGTGTAGACTAGAACTTTTGTGTTGATGACCAGCTTACTGGACCCGCATAACAAGGGGTAGACCTGCCTCAGAATACCATACCCTTTCCCCATGGCGTGCTGTATCTGGGCGGACCAGGTCAGCTGGCCGTCGAATTGAAGCCCTAAGTACGTGATTTTGGTCCTCCAAGGGATGGGGGCCTTATCCACCTGGAGCCTGGGCGGGATGACGGGTCGGTCTGGAGAAAAGGATGGCCTGTGATTTCTAAGGGTTGACCTGTAGTCTCCAGAACTTCAGCCATTCGGTGACCTGGTTTAAGTGAATCTGCAGGTGCTTCCTTATTTGCTCCGGGCTCCTGCCTGACGCGAAGATGGCCGTGTCGTCTGCGAATAGGGCTATTTGGGACACTTGGTTCTTTACCGAGATGTCCGCCGTATAAAGATTGAACAATGTTGACCTTTGTGAGACATCAGCTTCGATGGGGTGGGCGCGGCTGAGGTTCCACTCCAGCTTAACATGAAAATTCCTCCCTGATAGAAAAGATCTCAATAGTGTAGTTAGGTCCTCGGGGAGGCCCCATCTCTGGCACTTCGCAATGAGCCCGTCATGCCAAACTCTATCAAACGCGTTTGTAACGTCCAGGAAAACAGCACCTAGTTTATGCTTCTTCCCGAGCGCCTGATAAACATGATTTGCCACTCTGGCAGCCTGGTGGAGTGAGGATAGGCCCGACCGTAGTCCAAATTGAAAATCGGGTATTACTTGTTTTTCCTCCAGGCAGCGGTTTGTGATGTTCAAAATTACCCTTTCCGCTATCTTTGACATTGTGCTGATTAGGCTAATGGGCCGAAAATCTCATGGTATAGCGATGTTCTGAGCTTGTTTTGATTCAGGAATAAGTATTATATGAGCGCTTTTCCATGTACCCGGAAGTGTTTTAAACGAAAGATCGCGTTTATTATGTTTGTCAGTTCTGCCAGTTGTTTCGTTGGGAAGTTTCTCAGCTGGGCAGGCGTAACCCCGTCAGGGCCTGGCGATTTCTTGCGATGGCGCCGATGATAGCAGCAACGGTGGCAGGAGAGGCGAGGTTGTTGATGAGGAACGCACCTGGGGCGCCGAGGTCGAGAGCGTTGGCTTCCTTTGTCACCTTTTGATCTTTGGTGAGGTATACGTGTTGTAGCCTAGGGGAGGTGAACTGTTTCGTGAGCGCCGCACAGTGATCGGTTTTGAATTTTTAGGTGGACAAAAATATTTAAATACCGCAAACTGTTTTCTGTTAACTGGAAAACATATTTAAGGATCGTTTGTATGAGGTTGCGTCAAAATAATTGTTACTCACACAATTTCTCAATAAAATTGCAAAAATTTCTCCGTTAGATATAATCCAACAGTTATACAATAAAGAAATACAATACTAAATCAATATTTATTTTTACAATTTATTTTTACAATTATTATAATAATTTCAACAAAAAAATTCTACTCATTATTGTCTCCAATGTC